ACCGATGGGGCTCTGTGGTTAGTTCACCATGATGCAGGACAGCTGGCAGACTGTGGCTGCTGACGGACACTGTCAGCCCCCATGCACTCTCTGGCCTCTGTGTGCAGGGGCCGATGGTGTCAGGCAGCAGCTGCCCCAGCCCCTGCCTTGCTTTGCCTCGCCCCACAGCAATTGGCACCTCCGCCCTGCCTTGCCTCGCCTCACCCCACAGGACAAGCCTCCGGCCCACCACCCCAGCCACCAGAGACCCCCCCCTGGATCTCCCCCAACCCTGCCCGGCCCCCATAGGTATCCCTCTCCACAAGCATCATCAATGTGGCCACGCCCACTGTGGCCACGCCCACCCAGTCAGCCGTGGCCACTGCAGCCACGTCCACCCAGTCAGCACCCAGCAATAAATAAGTGGGGTTTGGATTGCAGTTTGGGCACTCAGTCTCTAAAAGGTTTGCCATCACTGGTATAGTTGATGCCCAAATAATAGTATGAAAGGATGTTATGTATCCCACAAAACATATAAACATCTCTGGGGCTAATTCAGGGACTGGACAAAAATTCAAATATCTCAAAATATTATTTCAGAAGCAAATGAATATTTCAGGGTAAATCCTATTTGAAAAAAACATTGTTGTTCCTTTCCTACATTCTGGGAAAAGATGTTCAAAAGGGTTTTTTTTAAAAATCCCAAAATTTTACTTGCCCCATGCCCCACAATTTTAGCCCAAAGGCCTCTTTTTGCTACCTTGTTGCACAATGTAGCCTCCAACTTATGCCCAACCCATGTCTTAAGTCATCTGTAGCTATTTCACTTTTAAAGTAGTCTTTTTCCCTTTAAGCAGCAGTTACCTTGAATGCAATCCATTGTGCTCCACTGACCATTCATCTGGTGTTGCAGTCAGGTGCTTCCAAAGGACTAGGATTACCCCTACGTCTATGGGACACTTTAGAGTGGCGCAGATATGCCCCCTTCCCTTCAATCTCTTAGCCTTGTCCTCAAGGGTCACTTTAACCTGGGCAGTAGGCAGGTGTGATTTGTTCAAACCAGCTTCTCTCCCTGTACTTCATGTGAAGCATGAGGGAGCTTATTTAAGGGAAATCACTGAGCCTGGAAACAAGAATAAGCATTTGCAAAACTCTGCAAAATAAGAGATGGCCGTTCCATTTGTATCCAGTAAATGGCAGTCAGCTTTCCCTTACATCCGTGGTGGCGAACCTATGGCACGCGTGCCAGAGGAGGCACGCAGAGCCCTCTCTATGGGCACACATGCCGTTGCCCCAGTCCTAGGCCTTCAGCTGGGTTTTATAAAACCTTTTTTCGCTTTAGGCCTCCGCCACCGTGTGCAAAAAAAAAAAAAGTTTCAATCAATCAATCAATTTCAACTTCTTGCAGGAAAAAAAAAGATCTCGCAAAGTTGGTATTCATTGATTGAACTTTTTAGTCCCACCCAGTCTGCTGTTAGCACCGTAGCCACGCCCACCCAATGGGCCACGCCCACCCGGCACCCAACGATACATAAGTGGTTTTGGGTTCCAGTTTGGGCACTTGGTCTCTAAAAGGTTTGCCATCACTGCCTTACATCAAGATACGTAAAGAGAATCAAAAACATCAAGAAGGACCCAGTTTAAAGGACTTGGTGATAAAAGGATGGCCTCATCCCAAGTTAATAGCCAGCACCGACCTTGCTTCTGAGATTTTGCAAGCTAGTTCCTTTTTCCTCGTAATATACCTGATGTAGAATATAGCTTAAAAAATCTTAAGCTGTATTGCTTATGTAGCTTATTAGGGGTGCTGACAAGTGATGTATTGCTTACCCCTGCCTCCCACCTGTCACCATTGTGCTGTAACCCTCATGTTAGCTTTACACGTGATTCATTCCAGATTATCCACCACTTTCATTTTCTCAGTGTCAGCTTCCTGAAAGTGGAAGATCTCCGGATTCTGTTCAGCAGGAGGTTACTAAGTGAGTTACTATCAACCTTCTCTCATTTCAATCATCCATGTCCCTGTTGGAATCAGTAATCTCCTTCAGTGGAAGGAGAGAGTTTCAGCAGAATTGTGTTTCATCTAGTGAACAGGTAGAAGGATAACCATGCTAGTCTATGCTGGCAAAAGAAAAGAAAATCAGGAATGATCTGGTAGCACCTTTTCCAAAGAAAAAAATATTGTTAAAAGATCTAAGGTTTCATGAGCTACAACTCACTTCATCAGATATAATGATCAGGAAAGCTTTTAGTTCTGTTAGCCATTACAGAGGCTCTGAAACTAAGCCTAAAGACCATCAAATTGGGAACTATTTAAAAATCAATGAATAATATCAAGTCATTATTATGCCATGTAATAGAAAAACTCAGATTTAACCTACGCCCTCTTGAGTAAATGTGACTAGATAATAACTGGGACAGACCAAAGGCTTCTAATTAGGTTATGAAGTCATGAACAGTTCCTGGCACGCATTTTGAAGTTCTCTGCCAGGACAGCAAATCAGCAGGACTTCACTCTTTGGCCTCTGCTAATTGATGGAAACCCCAATGATCAGAGCTTCCTCAGTCTCATTCAAATAACTTCTGAAGCTATAACCTCCAAGCCTCCTCCTTCTTTGATATAATATCTGCAGTACTGGAAAGCTTAATTCTGCTTCAAAGCCCCTCGCTTTTCTACTTTGGGAAGGGTATTACAGCAGCATGATCTAAGCAGCAAGGACTGTGCTCCTAACTGCTCCATCCAGACTTCCGGCAAGTCTGATTTTTTCCTTCAGACAAGGAGCCAGCTGGTGAAAGCTGGTAAAAGCTGTGCTAGCAGATATTTCATTTGAAGCACCTGGATGGGTGGCTCTGCAAATTTTCTTGCAGGAAGAGATGGGAAAAGATCAATTCCTGCCTGTTTCTGCATGGTAGGAAATGCTAAAGGTAGGCAAGGTAGAGAACAGTGGCTTCTTGGCTTCATCTTGAACAGATTGGTTTATCCCCAGAGAAGGAGACAACAGAAGTCCACCATCTCCTCCTGCAATTACACATGGACACCATCAAAGTTCTTAATAACAGGATTGTTACAGGTAGTTCTCAGCTTATGACTGGTTGCTTAGCAATCATTCAAAGTTACGACCTATCTGAAAAAGGGGACTTAAGACCCAGATGCAAAGTTCCAGTGGTTGGGCCACTCTCCTGCACAGTCATGTGACCACATTTCAGGCCCTCAGCAACAGTGCTGCATTTGCAGCCGTTTGTTTTTTCACTGTCTCGTCCCACTTCTCAGCCCTTGGGCTTCAGAAAGAAAGGGGTTGCAGGTAAGGGTTTTATTGCTCAGGTAGTCATAATTTTTGTTCCAAGCACTTATTTACAATCGTGGCCAAAATTGTAGAAACCTTTTGGGAAAAGTGTATTTTTGAGGTTTGATGGCTAATAACACCACTTTTTTTGGAGTAGGACCATAAAATTATATATCAGTGGGAAGATAATTTAATCAAGAACGTAATGCAACAAAGTTTGTTCAATTATCTGTACTGTATTCTATGAAAAGTTATAGCCAAATAAGCAGAAAAAGGAAGCACAACTTGCTTAGGTTGATATCAGGTAGCTTTCCTTCGTCTGATTGTAGCCAATGAGCATGAGTGTTTAGAGAGCCAATCAGGTGACATCTTGTTTTGGCAATGAGCCAATCAGATCACAGTAGGATTCAGTTATTGATGTCATGTATTGAAGCTGAGAGGAGGACATTTGTCAGTGTGTTATGTGATCGCTATCAAGTTGGTTCAGTTTTTTTGTGTTCTTTCATTTAGTGAGCTTGTAAAATGTAATAAAATTAAGGTAATGATGCAAAGAGTTGACTGGTTGCCCAGAAAGCAATGTAAAATAGTATTATTAAGTGAACAAGGCTACAGTTATAAAGAAATTAGAGGAAAAATTGGTGGAAACTTAACCAAAGGTGGCATTTCTACTATACACTTTTCCCAAAAGATTTCCACAATTTTGGCCACTACTGTATGCGTGAGAGCAGTTAAAAGGGATTTTTATTTATTTGTATCCCGCCTTTATTATTTTTACAAATACAAGGTAGCAACTATATCCAATACACAGTTCTCCTCCTATTTTCCCCATAGTAAGCAACCCGTGAGGTACATTGGGCTGAGAGTGACTGGCTCAAAGTCACCCCGCTGGTTTTTATGGCTAAGATGGGACTTGAACTCATGGCCTCCTGGTTTCTAGCCTGGTACCTTAGCCACTAAACCAAAGCAGTTCCAAGCTATCAAGCCACCTTTCTCCTTGAAATTCTTGCTAGGGCAGTAGAAACCCAGAAACAATCACCCTCTCTCTGTGTGTGTCTGTGTCTGTCTGCCTTCTGTTTTTCTCTATGCATGTCTGTGTGTGTGAAACAAGTTTCTGCAAATAGGAAAATAGACTGCCCACAGGTTCAGCAGAACTATGTCACTGCAAAGGAAACATCAGCTTTGCTCTGGTTTCAAATAACAGTGGAGCCAGAAAAAGAAAAAAGGAAGAAACAAAGCCACATTTAGCTATCAAAATCAGCCAATTCTATAGAAGTTCAAAGCTGGTTCGAAACTGGTACAGCGTCCTTTTGTGGAGGTTTGCTATTCCTCCCCCGCCGCTGTCAGCTGGAACCCACCTTATGTAATAACTCTGTTATTTAGAATGCGTCAGTCCTGGGTGCACGTAACAAATAGTTAGCTCCAAAATTAACAGAAAAATACAGAAACATCCGCAGAAATGTCTTTTAATATATATATATATATTTATAAGAACTTTTGATTTCTCTTTTCATAATTTTTATATTTTGTTATTTATTATTACAGTTTAGGTTGGTTGGTTGGTTTTTTGATGCCTTCAAGTCATTGTTGACTCCTGGTGACTGCTTGCACAAGTTCCTGAAGTTTTCTTGGGAAGATTTCAAACGGGGTTTGCCACTGCCTGTTTCCTAGGGCTGAAAAAGAATAACTAGTGCAAGGTCACCCAACTGGCTTTGAGCCTAAGAAAGACTAGAACTCCAGTCTCCATATGTATTGAAAGGAAGTATTAAGGTAGCTTCATATGTATACAAGTGCGTAATTGTATGTCCTTTCTTTCTTTCTTTGTTCTTTTTGTAATACTGTGAAAGCCCTAATGCAGTTTTGGGGTTGGGGTTGGGGTTTAAAATGAAAAAGGGTTTTTTTTTTGTTGTTGTTGTTGTTGTTTTGTTTTGTTTTACTTTTTATATATACTATTTGAGTATTGCTTAAAGTTAGTAAAATTTCTAAACTAGGAAAGGTGTTTTCTCCCTTTAGGGTTAAAAAAAAAAAGGTCGAATTTATATAGAGGATTCTCTTAATATGAACTAGGATAAAGATTAATGAGCCAATAGAGATATATATCATTCCCCACAGCAATGAGAAGCAGAGAAGTGATTCTTTCATCCAAAGATGAGAATATATTTAATCTTGCTTCTATTTTGAAATTGCTTCCAGATTATGTCCTTGCAATGAAAAAGAAAATGAAATTTTGTTTTTGTTAATTAGATAGGTTTATTGTTATAGAAATGGTTTGTACATACTGTTGTGTAAAAGCAAAAAGTTGTGATTGTAATGTTATCTTCTACTGTGCTAAAGAGAGCAGAAGCTGGTGCCTTTTTCTTTTCTCTTCTTTTCTCACACTATCTTTTTTCTTTTCCCTCCCCCTTTTTCTACTTTTCTATTACTTTTTAAATTTTTTCTTTGTATTTTATATTTTAACAAACCAATAAAATTATTTTTTTTTAAAAAAGAAATAGAACTCCCAGTTTCCAGCCTGGTGCCTTAGCCACTACATCAGGGGTGGGGAACCTTGGCTCTTTTATGACTGGTGGACTTCAACTCCCAGAATTCCTGAGCCAGCCATTCTGAGGGGAAAGGGAGAGTTTCCAAGCTGAGCCATGCTGGCTTAGGAATTCTGGGAGTTGAAGTCCACAAGTCATAAAAGAGCCAAGGTTGCCTACCCCTGCACTACACCAATCAACTCTAATTGAAGTGCCATTCATTTTTGGGGACTTTAATGCTTTATCTCCCCTTCTCCACTCATACCTCCCACCCCATTATTCTTTATTCAATATTCTTTGTGGGGATGCTATAATGAAACACTTTTTCTCATTTTCATCTAGACTCATCGTTCTATGACTGAGAATGGCCCTAAACCTCCTAGACTCTAATGGATTGTGAAGCCTGAAGTCCAAGTCAAAGAGTTAGGACCACCATCTGAATTAAGGAATATAATGATGAGCACCAACTTGAATTCTGGGCCCTTTTTTGGTCTCTCGTGATCTCTGCTTCTCCCAGAATCTTAAACAGACCTGTCAAAGTCTTCCCTTCAGCTGATTTCCAGGCATGTCAGCTGACAATGTTACTATATGCAAAAATTATAGTGAGATTCATCAACTGCAGTTGATTGGATACAGCTTGATCTTCATAGCAGGCTTATGCCTCAATGTTGCATCCCTCTTGATCTTCTTGTACTATCTGAAGCTCAAGTCAGTGGTAGCCATCTATATGTGTAACCTGGTTGTGAGTGACCTCCTTTTCACCATATCTTTGCCCTTCCGTATTTACTATTATCACATGGGAGAATGGCCCTTTGGAAGTTTCCTTTGTCAAGCCTCAGGTTCCCTCTTTCAAATAAATATGTATGGTAGTTGCCTCTTCCTGATGTGCATCAACTTGGACCGATTTATTGCTATTGTCTACCCACTACGCTGGCGCCACCTCCGGCGTCCCAAAGTGGCCCGGCTGCTCTGCTGTGTGGTTTGGGTACTAATCCTGATAAGCTCTATTCCAGTTGCTGTAATCCACAAGACAACACCATGTATTAAGCAAAGTGGAACAAATTCTAAACAAAATGAAACTACTGTGTGCTTTGAAAGCTTCAGTAAGGACTTGTGGCAGGGAAAAATCTTTGTTCTGGTCATTTTAGCAGAGATTCTTGGCTTTCTCCTCCCTCTGACCTCTGTGACGGTCTGCTCAATCCGAATTTTTCAGAAACTATGCCAAACCCGTGGGGCCAAGACCCTGCGACAAGAAAAGACCATTCGCATGCTTGTAGTCAATCTGGTCATCTTTATCATCTGCTTCGTACCCTACAACACCATTCTGGCAGTCTACGGGATGATAAAAGCCAACGTGATTAAGACTGATTTAACCATGCAGGCTTCAGTGCGCAACGCCCTGATCACCACTATGCTATTTGCAAGTATGAATTGCACCCTGGACCCCTTGATCTATTATTTCAATACAGAAGGCTTCAAAAATACTTTGAAGAAAATAAGAAGAGGGCAGACTTGGGATTTTGAGATGGGAACACTTCGGACTCGGGCAACAAAAGTTGGTTCCTACAAGGCAGCAAATGTTAAGCAATATCCAGTTCAGAATTCGATTGCTCCCTGTGAGGACTTGCCATTTGCTTCCCCTAAGATATTCTTGAGTAGCTTCGTTGAAGACTGAAATATGGAGATGGGGGAACTATCAAACTATCAAGCTTTTCGAATGAATAGGCATTACAGAAAGTAATTGCCAGCAACGTTTGAAGAAAATATGAAGATTTTATGCACTTAAACACTGTAAAGCCCTATACTGTACAGTAAGTATTTCATATTTCAAGAACAATTTCCAATATTGATTTTAGAATTTATTTTCCATCTCCCATCCATAGAGCTGTCTGATACTCATATGAATGCTATAAGAGGCATTTATGATTAAAATCACTCAATTCCAGGTTCAGTTCAGGCTCCCAAGGGTGTAGTATCACTTGCTTCAGCAACTGGCGTCAGCATGAACCAAGAAGGATTGTGTTGCAGAAATACAAATTGCAATTGCTATACTTTTCTCCAAAACTTTACACCAAAAATATATATTAGCTGTTTCTGTATCCATAATAACTTTACATTTTAATGACAGAATTCTTTTTTCTGTGCGCCTTGGAAAAATAGTTTACAAATACCTAAAATAAAAAGCCAACCAAAAAAAAACATATTCCTGCATCATTCAGCATTGGTTTAAGGCCCAGTGCTAGGCAGAAGGCATTCAGCGAACAGAAAGTTTCAGTGGTCTCCTAAAAATTTGAATTGGGGAGGGACGAGGGGTTTTTTGCACAGCCAATCTTTAATTGCAATGGACTAGAGTGGAGCTTATAGGAATCATTATTAAAGCCCTCCCCCAAACACACACACAGTACAGGTAATCCTCAACTTACAACAGTTCATTTAGTGACTGTTCAAAGTTATAACGATATTAGAAAAGGGGACTTATGACTGTTTTTCACACTGATGACCATTGCAGCATCCCCATGGTCATGTGATCAAAATTAGCCGCTTGGCAACTGATTTATATTTATGACAGTTGCAGTGTCCTGGGGTTATGTGATCACCTTTTGTGACCTTCTAATAAGCAAAGTCAATGGGGAGGCCAAATTCACTTAACATCAGTGCTACTAATTTAACAACTGCAGTGATTCTTAACACTTAACAATAACTGGGCAAGGTTATAAAATGGAGCAATATCCACTTAACAACTGTCTTGCTTAGCAACAGAGATTTGGGGCTCAATTGTGGTCATAAGTCAAGGACTACCTGTACACACATTGAATGCAAACACTGTATTTCTCTATGTCAGCTCTTGCCACCATAAAGGTTTTATGCCAGTTGTTTATTAAAGCCTGTTTACATCTTCCATGAAAGGGTAATATTACACCTAGAACAGTGATGGCGAACCTTTTAGAGACTGAGTGCCCAAACTACAACCCAAAACCCACTTATGCATTGTCGAGTGCCGGGTGGGTGTGGCTCATTGGCTGGGTGTGGCCAGTTGGGTGGGCGTGGCCCATTGGGTGGGCATGGCTGTGGTACTAACAGCAGACTGGGTGGGACTAAAAAGTTCAATCAATCAATTCCAACTTTGCAAGATCTTTTTTTTTCCCGCGAGAAGTTGAAATTGACTGATTGAACCTTTTTTTTTTTTTGCACACAGTGGCGGAGGCCTAAAGCAAAAAGGTTTTATAAAACCCAGCTGAAGGCCTAGGACTGGGGTGACGGCGCGCATGCCCACAGAGAGGGCTCTGAGTGCCGCCTCTGGCACCCATGCCATAGGTTCGCCACCACTGACCTAGAACATAATGTTCAATAAATGTTCAATGTAGCATAGGTCCGGGAACTTTTGGCTCTCAAGTATGAAAGTGTCAAGCTCTCAGTACTCATGCTTCAGAGAGAAACAAAATGCTATTTCTAATTTAGTAGCTAGTTTGACCTATACCTCTTCCCAAGTAAATATTCACTGGAAGTATTATCTGAAAATGTATGAACTATGGTTTATTTATTATAAACATGCCACAGTATCAAAGATCCAGAATGTAAATGAATTGGCTTTACTCTCACCAAAGTAACATCCACAAACATGCTACACCAAAACTCCTTACTTTGCAAGAAGAAATAAAAATTTGATTAAAAATAAAAAATTGAATACCAAGCTTATGTGTCTTATTCTTGAGGACTTCCATGATGTATTTTTACTATCCTGTCATGTTAATTCGCTGCAAAAATATGAAAAATCTATGTATGTATTTGCAGAACTTCCTTACTAGGATATCTTGAATAATTTTAAGTCCCAGAAGTAACAAAAGCACCAAGGCTCAAAAGAGACCTTATCTCGTTCCAGAATTATGGTGCGGGGTTTTTAATGATATTATTACTGCACATAATGAAGGGGGGGGGAAAACAATACTTTAATTTCAGCCATGGATAAGGCAGAAAGCAGTGTTAAACATATTTAGGATCTGCAGCTAGACTAGATTTTTTCAGACCTGTCTTTCTGAGAAGCCCAAATTAAAACAAAAACTTTTATGCTGTTGCTGTATAGGGCCATCAAGCATGGGAATCAAAAGTGACACTGCATTAGAGAAAAATTCCCTATTGAAAAAGTACATTTGCATTAAGAATAAAGAACCGAAGAATATAATGATATTGTCCTTACTTTAAATTGCAGTTTGTCCACAGTTATTTCAGTTAAAGAGTGAAGCTAATTTAAAAAATCATTTGAATACAATATGGCTCTAAGTTGTAATTTAAAGGTACACTTGACTCACTGTAGGACTTTATCAGTGATATCAGATTTGCTCTAGCAACTTTTATACAGAATACAAACAAAAATAAATAAAAATTTTAGTTACTATGAAATTACTAGATATTGTACATATTACTTACATAGAATTAAACAATTCCATCAATGCCCCTGGGATCCTTTTTAGAACAGAGGTCCCCAACCTTTTGGACACCAGGGACCGGTTCCGTGGAGAGAGGTTTTTCCGCGGACTGGAGAGTGCGTGGTTTTGTGTGCTACCTGCATCTCGCGGATGGAGCTTTGCTTGTTTGTGCGGACCGGTTGCTGGCATGCTGTGGCCTGATACTGGTCCACGGACCGGGGGTTGGGGGCCGTGCTTAGAAGATGAACCTTAATCACAACTATTTTAAGCCGTGCAGCAATTTAGTCAGTCTTGTTCCTCTACTGCCACCTGGTGGCTCAGAATCTGCTGAAAAGAACAGTCATCTAAGGTGAGAGAGTTGGAGACAGAAGTAACTTTCAATAGGCTTGAGAAGCATTTATAATGTAGGTCAATGCATTTGGTGCTATTCCAAGTCTTTATTCACTGTTAGAGGAGTTTTCAGAAGACCTGGACTTGGAAGCTTATTCACTACACAATACATGCTTTTCTCAGTTAGTATGAGTATCCCATCACTTTGAAAATAACAAAGAAGAACATTGAAAAACATGTTTATGGAATTAGAAGTGTCTGTGATTTAAACAAAGTAATTTTTAATTGGCCAAAGGGTTTCTAGAATTTTTCTAATGGCCAGCATCATTTGGATGGGATCTGAACTAGTATGACAGATGAGAAAAGAGCTCTAGGAATAATGGTGAACAGTTGAACAGAAGGTGTCGATGAGTGCATGTCTGCTGTAAAAAAGACCAACAGCACGTTCGAGACAATAAGAAACAGAAGTGAAAATAGAGATGCCAGTATCATAGTGCCTTTATATAAATGGTGCAATCACATCTGAATATTGTGTGCAGTTCTGGTCTCTGCACCTCAAAAAGGATGTGATGGAGCTAGTAAAAATCAGAGGAGGACAACTAAGATGATTAAGTGGCTGGAGCAGCTTCCCAATGGGAAAAGGTTGAGACATCTGAAGCTTTTTAGTCTAGAGGCGAATGAGAGGGGACATTGTTAAGGTGTTCAAAATTATGCATGGTGTGGATAAGGGGAAACTGTTGTGTTCTTTGTATTCCCCCCCC